TCTCTCTCTCTCTCTCTCTCTCTCTCTCTCTCTCTCTCTCTGCTGAGGAGCAGCTGATTGGACAGACGGCACATCACAGCAGCATCTCCTGTGCAGGTTGTGTAAGAGGGCACGCCCACCATGTGTCACCAGAGCGCCTACAGACGGGGGTGCACAGACTCGCTCCGTCTCCTCACGCCTCCGCTCAAGCCTTACCTAAACCCGCTCAGGCCTCACCTGAAGATGAGAGAAATATGCCTCATCACCTGCCCTCGATAAACAACACATATTATGTAATGCTAATGAGCAAAGTAACCGTAGTGAACTTGGATTAAACACTGTTGTGAATACATTCTCATGTTCTTTGTTGCTTTTGAGTGTTTCGTTGTGGTGTTTTTAAAATATGTCTTTATATGTATTTACACACTTAAAGGTCTAATGTGTAGCACTAAGGTGATCCATTAGCAGAAGTTGCATATAATATTTAGAACTACGTTTCATTTGTGTATAAGGAGCTGAAACTAAGAATTGTTGTGTGTTTTCTGTTAGCTTAGAACGAGAGGTTTACATCATGAGGAGCAGGTCCTCTTCATGGAGCGTTTCTACAGGAGCCCAGAGCGGACAAACCAAACACTGGCTCTAGAGAGGAGCAGCTGCATGTTTAGGTTACTTAGAGGCCGGTAAGGGGTTCCCGACATAAGATATAATCTATTGATGAGTATAAATTTAATTCTGAAAAGTTGTGTTTGTTGATAATTGTACTATTTAAATGTACTTTATGTTATTCTTTAGCCCGGAAAATCCAATTGAAATATTACATTTCTTTTCTTTAACAAGTGGGTCCTGACCAAGATGGCAGCATGAGAGTTTCCCCACATGAAAACACAGATGTTTTTATACAGTAAAAAGTTCAAAACAACATAAAATCATAAAAAACTGCACATAAAGAAAACTACAGACTTAACAGAAACCAGCAGATAGCATCAATCAGAGGACCAGTGAAAGAAGAAGCACATTCAGTGCTTAATCCTGTTTTTATAATCTTGCATGCTTATAAATTAATCTTGTTTAAAATGTCTCTGTAGCTGACATCAGGATGAGGGTAGAGAAGAGACTTCACTAAACACGGTGCAGGTTCTAGGAATGGCGGAATGACGGCGGAATGACGGCGTTGGCCTTGATGAAGGCCACAGACTGAAGACAACGTCAGCTCTCCTTTACACTACCGTTCACATTTTGCTGTATTTTGAACTCCCAAAACCACATTCACATCTCTGGGATTGTTTTCTCTGTTCAGCCCGTGTGTTTGCCGCAGTGAGTTGGAGTCGTGAACTTCCCTTTGCCCATTTCTCTCACTGTGAAGAGCCTCGCTAGACTGGCACCCAAACTGCATGTGCCCAGTCGGGGGTCCCATCCCATTCAGCTCAGCACATCCGATCCCATCAGTGCTGTCACGGATTACCAGCCGCACTGAAGCTCAAATCCCATCAGGAGGAGGGAAAGGCATCCGAGAGCCAACTCTACGAGGAGCAGCGCCGCAGCGGAGAGTCAGCGTGAGTTCACTAAAAGTGTGCGTTGGTGACTAATTCTGTCTTTGCTGAAATAAAGATGAAGTGAATGACGAGGAACTAATGTTTCCTCAAGTGGCCGACCGGCAGGTTGTCTGCACCACACACTGGGCTGAAGCCAATGGGATTATATTTTCATGGCACTGGCTGATGTCACCATGTGGTCATGCATTTTCTTACACAGTTGTCTTCCAGCCGGCCATAAGGATGAACTCTGAGCCACAGAACTTCTTTAATTCCTCATTCATTCAAAGCAGCACCACAAACTATAGTTTGCACCATTCAAAACATCTGACACTTCAGCCTCCCACACACACACACACACACACACACACACACACACACACACAC